CATGGAGCATGTCCTGTATATTGTGGAGAGGGGGATTGTCCTGCTGCATCCATTTTGTGTCAAGTGGAAAAGCTGAGGAGCTCTCAGGGAGGGGCTTTACTCTCCAAGGCCTGGGCAGCTTTGGATTCAAGGATTCAACCAGAATTCAACCCTGCTTGGCAGTTGATTTCACATTCAGGGACCTGGGCTTAGGGGGGCATCGGGTTCAGTACCTTTAATGAGCCCAAAACAAACGTGGAAATCTAACCCTCAATAACCCCAGTTAAATTAGTGTCACATGGCTTATTAATCTTCATTTTCACAATTAATAAAATAACCCAAAGCCTTTCATGCCACTTGAAATACACTTGAAAAATTGATCACAGCGTGTTAGAACCAGGAGCCAAAAAGCTTCAGGCTGCTGCCGTCTTCAATAGTAAATGAACATGAGCGCTGGCAATTTTAGGAACTGTGAGGCTAACGAGTCCTTTTGTGCTTTTTTATGTTTGCTCTGGAGCAGAGCAACAGTAACCTCAGGCCCTGATGAATTTTTGTTCCTGCAGAGCATGTTCATCTTTAAAATTGCATAAAAGTTTCCTCTTGCGAGCTGGTCCAACTGACAGTGAATTATTCAAGGGTTTTGAGGATGTGGACTTGTTACTCGGTCTGAAATGGAAGGATTGAAAGGCAAACAAGGAGCCCACATGGGTGAGGACAGATAACCCGTACAGATTTGCATGGCACCTTTGCTGTCTCTATATCCCATGGAACAAGTGTGCTTGGGTCACATCATGAGTTCATCTGGTGCTTTAATAGGACCTGGTCTGCTACACCTGGCGTGGACATGAAGCTGCTGGTTTCCCAATAAGGTTTTGAGTGAGTCCTTTTGCAAAGGACTGACAAGACGGATAGAACAAGGAATGCAGTGGCCAGATTTTGTACAGGATATGAGAAAAAACAGGCACGTGGCAGGTTTGGCCTGGTGTATTCCCAGAACAGCCACGCTTGTGCCTCTGAAGAGTGTGTGCAAAGCCAGAGAAAGCATTCATGCATTATGGAGTATTTTCAAAGTGTGGAGGATGCTTAGACACCTCCACCCTGGAAATTACTGAGAGCTTGCTGGCAGTGTTTTCACGTATGCTGTTTTTCCACCCACCTCTTTCACGGCAGAAGACATGAATATGAAAGCTCAGCAGAGCTGGTTTATGCAGCCCGTGTAAAACTGGTATCAGACCATCCTCATTTCCCCGCTGTCACAGCACACGGCACAGAGCTTGGCCCACCTGTGTGGTTGGGGATGAGGAAGGTGACACAAAGCACACGTGCCCCAGCTCTCCTTGGTGCTGTGCTGGGGTAACAGCCTGTGTCGTGCTGTCCCCAAATAACCATTGTGTCTTTCTACTAAAAATAACTGGCTGTCTCTTGTTCTTCTGCCCTTCACATAATGTAGGTGAGCAAGGCATGGGAGCAGGTGCAGAAGCAGCCTGTGTGTGTGTTACTCTCCAGACTAGCTGAGCTGCAGGGAAGGGTGACACTCTTTATACTTCAGTTATGTACCATTTTTTCCCCTCCAGCTCTTAAAATTAATGTGTTTCTGCAGGAGGAACAGGTGGTAGTCGCAGCCCTCCCTCCCTCCCTCTGGAGCTGGCTACTTGCCCAGGACAAAGCAGGTTGTTTCCAAAACGGGCAGCTTTGGTAGTACAAAGTACAGTAAATCTTCAAATACCCTGATATTGTAAAGAATGTCCTGCGCTTTGCTGGGTCCAGCTTTAAGTGCTCTTTGAGCTTCATATTCTGTATCCTAAAATGACTATATGTGTACTTTGTATATTCTTCACACGGGATCCTTATTCCTTAGTCTTCTTCGCTCTCTACAACTCCCTGAAAGGAGGGTGTAGAGAGGTGGGGGTCAGTCTCTTCTCCCAGGTAACAAGTGATAGAATGAGAGGAAATGGCCTCAAGTTGCACCAGGGGAGGTTTAGATTGGATCTGAGGAAAAGCTTCTCCACCAAAAGTGTAGTCAAGTGTTGGAACAGGCTGCCCAGGGCAGTGGTGGAGTCACCTTCCCTGGTGGTATTTCAAAGACAGGTAGACGAGGTGCTCAGGGACATGGTTTAGAAGTGGAATTGGCAGTGTGAGGTTCATGGTTGGACTCAATGATCTTAAAGGTCTTTTCCAACCACTGTGATTCTGTGATTCTGCAATTCTGTGTACAATCATCTTACCATACCTGAGTCACCCAGTTGCCTTGATGATGGGACCTAGCATCCTGATCAGAGACTTAGAGGTTGTTTGGTTCTGTTTTCATGTAGGGTTGGTGATTTAGGTGCTCACATAGGCAGTGAGAGAGCTCAGCTCAGCCTGGAGAGCCAGCAGTGCTGGCAGCAGTATCTTGGCTGCTGGATGCAGCGGTGACCGAGCTTGCAGGTCTTCCAGCCAGGATTGCTGGTGCTATAAACAGGAACAGAGGAGCACGTAGATCAGCTGAGATTGCTCTGTCTTCACGGTCAGCAGGCAGGAGTCTTTCACCCTGAGTAGGGCTTGGGAGGAAGAATGAGTACCAGAAAGCAGAGCTGTTCAGCCATCCTGCTGCCGGCTCTCCAGGAGCAAAGCTCGGAGGGGAGGGATGACAGCGTTTAGCTCTCAGTGCTGCTGGCGTGGGTCTGCAGAGCGTCCTGTGCAGGCAGGTCTCGTGGAAGGCTTTCCAGGCCATAGCAGTTCACGTGGCTTTGTGCATTCAGAGCATTTGCTTTGTTGGACCAGGGCTGAATCGCAGGTACCTTTGGCTTATCTCTCCCTGACCACAGATGCCTCACGTGTTCTGGTGTGAGGGATGCTGAATGGCGTGTGTGGTGATCTCCTCCTCAAGAAAGGAGCAGTGATCGCTCAGCCCTGCGGCACAGTGACAGAGATGCACTGAAAATACCCTGTTAGGTTCTTGCACTGTGTGTGACGCATTGTGCACCTTCCAGCCAAACCTGATCAGTCTCCAGAGAGCTCAGTGCAAGAGTTGAACTCCTTTATATTTTCCCTTTGGTGCATGACAAATCATGTATCATTTTCAGTGGAAGGTGTTGTCGCACAGCTCACCCCAGATACTGTTCCCCTGGGAGGGAGGGTGCTGGAATGGATGCTCTGTCGCATGCTCTGATCTCAGCTCTGCCAGGAGCTTGTTTTCCTGGAGCCACTTTGCTGGGTGGAATAAGCACATGAGCCTTGTCCCAGATCCTGGTGGAAGCATCAGAGGCTATCACTGCGTACCACTGGTTTAGGTGCCTTGACAGCGGTCACCAGGGACAGGCAGTGGGCAGCTCTGCCACAACCAGGTTCCTTTTCTGCTGCTCCCAGGCAGCGTTGAGTTTGCAGCCTTTGGTCCAGTCTTCTGGAATGAGTGAGGCGAGTCTCCTAACCCTTCTCATGTGGTGAACTTGAAGCAAGAACACTTGTCTCCTAGCCCTTGAGCAGGTGACTATGTCCTTGGTAATAGTCCGTAAACATAAACAGCCCTTGCTGAATTTCTTCCCTTTTCTGTTATTCAGGATCATCCAGTTCTTTCTGTATCTTGTCTCTCTCCTCCTCTCTGTTGATGCTGCCTCCCAACTTGCAACCTCCTGAGCGTTTCCCTGGTCTCTGTGCTGCTTTGTTGAAATGCTGAAATATATCTCAAGGCTAATCCTTGAGGAACTCTACGAAGGATTTCTCTCCTAGCTAATACTGCTTTTTAATGCTACTCTTTAACTCTGCTTTAGCCAGTTCCTTAGTTAGGAAGGACTCCTGGTTTTCCAATCCAAGTAACAGCTTCCCAGGGATGTTGTTCTCTAGGGCTCCAAACACTGCTGGTCACGAAGTATATTAGTGTGTTCCTTAAAAGTATATCAGGTTGCTCCTTGAAATAGGAAGTGATGTCTCAAGGGGGTTTAGATTATTTTAGCCCCTGCTGTTTGCTCTCTGCTCAGCAGTTGTTCCAGTGAAGGTGTCTGGCTGGCTCAGGTCCCTGAAGGACGAGGTTGTGCTCTGTATGGGAGGGAGTCTCTGTTTTGACATTCTCGTTGCCTGGAGCACAACCGAGTCTGTCTGTCTGGCAGAAGCAGTTGAACCCAGAGCCTCTGTGCACAAGTTCATTAGGCTTAATTAAATAAGAGGCGAGACCATGACATTTGCTAAATTTTATACATGATACTTCGCTTTAGGTGTCCTCGTTATATCTCTCAGATGTGCTGCACGTAGCAGACCTTATTTTGAGACTGTTTCATAGTAAGACTGTCTTTCTGTTAGTGTATCTTTGCATACAGATTGTGAAAACGAAATGGGCAGCAGGAGGAGGCTTCAGAAGGATCAGACTTGGTTTGCTTTTGGAAAAGGATAGAGCATTTCACCCTCTGTAGTGGTACAGGCTTTAATGCTCGTCTAGTCAGGAATCCAGCCAGGACCACAACTTGCTTCAGAGCTTCTGCTGCTTAGCTTCACTGCCTCCCACACAGAGAGGGAGTGTGTGCCTGTGTATCTGCACACTGGGAGAAGGGTAATTGCAGTCAGTCCTCTGTGAGCCCTCTGGATAGCTCTTTTCTTTTGTCTTTCAAGGATTCTCCTCTCAAATCCATTCTTGGCTGAAACAAGAGATTTTTTTTATAGCATTTGAGTTTTCTTGAACACTCTGATCTCTTCTGCAGAATCTAAAAATGTGCCATTCCTGTAGCACTTACTCCTTAGAGACAGATGTCCAAGAACTGACTTCAAGCCCTGGCATGTTGGTATCCTCTGTCTATCCAGGGAGCTCCCAGCAGTATTGCAAATACAGGTTTCATCCTGCAGTGCAAAACAGGTTGGGATTCTCCACATCTCGATGTAGATCGGGTGAATTTAGCTCACAGGGGTGAACCAGGTTTATTGTGGCCCAGGGAGTTGCAGCATCACCGAGAGCAGATCTGTACCCTCCCAGCTCAGCACGTAGCCAAAGCTACACCAGCATCGTGCTTGGTGTTTTCTCCATTCCTTATATTTGCAATTTATCTTCCCTGCAGCTTCCTTGAAATGATGGAAGCCCGAAGCCGAGGACATGCATCACCACTGACAACTAACGGGCAAAGCCCTTCCTCTGGCTCCCAGTCACCCATAGTACCTCCAGGCTCCACATCGACGGGCAGCTCCAGCCCTGGCACCCCACAGCCACCGCAGCCGCTTTCCACAAGCTCCACCATCTCTCCTGAACCCCCTCCATCTCTTTCACCAGTGCCTGCACCTGAAGCCCAGCAGCCACACGCACCTCCACCAGCTACAACCTCCCCAGCACCTCCGGCTGCAGTCCCACCGCCGAAGCGCAGCATTATATCACGTTTGTTCGGGACGTCTCCTGCGTCAGACCCCTCTCCTCCCCAGCCAGGTAGGTGCTGGGGTGCACTCATCTGGGCTGCGTGTCACCCGTGGGCGTTTCTCTCTTTTCCTTTCATTTTTTCCCTGCAAGAGGCTGAGCAGACTGGTATCTGAAGAGCACAGGCCCTGAGTGTGTGCAGTGTGTGTCCCTGCGCTGTCACTCTCTCTTTTTCTCTTCATTGACATTTTGGTTTGTCTGTGTGCTGGGCTTGGATGGGGACAGTGTCCAGCCAGCTGGGTGGTGCCTGTAGCCGCCTGTGTTTCAGGAGGAAGGCACTGAACGTTAAGGGAATGCTAATAAAGAAACTGTCAGCTTCTACCAGGAGCACATATGCCTCTTAAGCAGTAAGAAAAATCATTAAAGAAGCTATTTGAAGCACTTGTCTTCACAAAAGTCTGTCAGCTCAAAGGAGCTCTTGTGTGTTAACGGGGAACAGCGGAGTGCTGGTTTTAAAGGTTATTCAACCAGAAATGATCACGTAAGTTCAGGCTCTGCAGCGGATTTCCCTCCGGGGAAATATGCTCCTTCAGAGATGGTCTGAGGAGGAGGGCAGCCCGCCTTGGCTTCTTCCTCAGCGCTAGTACACAATGGAGCAGAGCCGCGCAGCGCTCGGGCCAAACCCCCGCTGGACGAAGTTGCAGGGCAGAGGCATCGAGGGTTTTGTTGCATGTACTTTTACTGATCTGGACCTTAATTTGCCTGTCACATTCACTTTGTTTGCAAAGCTAACTGGAGCTGCAGAGATGGCACTGCCTAAAAATCATTAGCATGACATGCTTTGAATCACCCTGTGGAGATACCTTCCCTCTCAAACTGTCAATCCCTAGAGCTCACAGTACTCTTGAGACACCCACAGAAAGAAAGGAGGAGGTGCTGGGAACACGGTTTGCAGTTTCAAATGTAGAAATCTTTCCGTTTCAGATCTGCACACAGTGTTCTGCATCCTGAATCTGTTACCAGGTATGACACAGTACACCCATTTCAGTTCAGTGGTGACTCTTCCTATCCAGAAACAAACAAACAAACAAAGAGGATAAAATGTTAGAAATCCCTTGTCAATAAAAAAACCTTTGGTATGTGGAAAAATGACACAGAGTCTACTGCCAGTGTTACAATCTGTGGGGTTTGGGGTTTTTTGGAGGTTTTTTTTTTAAATCTATCACTTAGCTTGAGAACTGTTGTAGGCTTGTGGCTTGCAGTCCTGGTGTCTCTCAAGGGTCCCTTTTAGGAGGGTTGCAAAAGGCAGCTGGGAAAAGCTGATCTGTCAGCGTTACTGGGTTTATGTAGCGTGCCAAGGGTCTGCACCTCTCCTGGAACTTACCTAGAGATTAACTAATTGGAAAGTAGTTGAAAAATCACTGTCACAAAGTAATACTTGTTTTTTATGGGAGCTGCTATTTAAGCTTTCCCTTGAAGTCTTGCAGTAGTAATTCTTTTGGCTGTGTTTTTTCTTACACCAACGCTCCTCTTTAGAGGCATTAGTAATAGTGTTATTTGTATGCAAAAGTGATCTGAAAGCTCTACTAGTAAAGCAAAATCTAGAAAAGAATATACAAATCTTGTTACCCAAAAGAAAAGAGCCTAGATATGAAGTGCAGTCCAGGCAGAAGGAAAAGGTTGAACATTGCAAATTCTGAAAAGCTTAATGGCTTTAAGCTTCTTGGTTATGCTAATTTCATGAGATTGCATCCTGATACCTTGAAGGTGGGTAAAGGTGTCTCTACCAATAAGTTATATTAAAGCAAACCTCTATTTGCAGTAGCTCTTGATTTTTTCGGTTACACAGGGCATCTAAAAGCACAGTGTGAAAAATCCTGCCTTTGACAGTTACAGTTGAAAAAGCAAGAGGGAGGTGAGTGGGTGAACTGAACAGTCTGGAAAAGGTAAGAGAGGGACATCACACAGGAGCAGTGCACACGGCATAGGTGTAAAATCTGGCTGTGGTGTCATTGTTCACCGTAGAGCAGAGTCAGCTGCCATGCTGGAGAGATTTTCAGAGTATTTTTCAGACTCAGACTGGTGCATTTTAAACCACAGTGGCTGTGTGTGGTCTGGGAATACCTTCCTGCAAGGTTCTGGACTGGGCTGAGTATCCTGTTCTTATCCTTCCTCTTCCCTTGTTGTGTAGCCAAGGTCCAACTTCGTGGCCACTGTCTGTGTGTGCCCTGGGCAGGATAGATCTGTCAAAAGCAAATTTCTGTCTTGTTTGTGGTGAACAGTGTTTTACAACTGCTGTTGCTGATGCAGATGCTGCTGCTGCCACTCCTCCTCCCCACCCTGAAGCCTCTGCAAAAGTACAGAGCGTGGAGGACTTTGTTCCTGATGACAGCCTGGACCACAGCTTTCTAGAAGACCCAGCCCCACAGAAGGAAAAAGGGAAACCACAGACTAAACACCGTGTCGATAGTGAAAGGTAAGGAAGGGAGGATGGAGGGAGGGGGGGCGAGACAGGGATGTATCTGGATGTGCAGCCTAGTGGCTCGGGCCTGGCTGACCTGTTCCAACTGTTCAGAAAGTGATTGCAGAGCAGGGAGCTGCCCCTGAGCCTGGCTGGCTGCGCTGTGGTCAGTCGTAACGTTCACTGTCTCCCATTTCATGATACACACAGCTCCCTGGGAATGAGGAACAGCAGTAGAAGCCAGTTAGCACCTCCCTGGTTTTGCTGTCTTGCTTTCATGCTCAATGTTCAACCATTAGGTTGCTTTGGGTCAGGAAGGGATTTCACTTCTGGCCAAATGTGCTGAAACATTTGAGATATTTTCCTTCTGGAACACAATGCACTTTGCAGGGATATTATATTTCAAGCACTGGAAGAGGCTGCCCAGGGAAGTGGTTGAGTCACCACTCCGAAGGTATTTAAAAGCCGTTCTGATGTGGTGCGTAGGGACATGGTTTAGTGGTGGACTTGGCAGTGTTGGGTTTACAGTTGGACTTGATGGTCTTAAAGGTCTTTTCCAACCGAAGTGATTCTGTAATTCTGTGTTTTGCCTAATAAGTGCTTTCCCACTCCAGAGACCCAAAGCATGGCCAGACTCCTCCACAGCCTGATACTGCCATTCCTGAGGCATTATAAAGGGGTTTGTGTTTGTTGGAGGACACTTGGGGACACACTGTGGCTCGATGGGATTCTGGAAGGAAGGATGGAGAGGGTTATGTTCCCTCGGGACTGTCACTGCGTGCTTGTCTGTAGAGTCCAGAAAAGTCTTAGGGGGAGCTTTTCTTTTTCTCTGTCTGTTTCTAATGTTCCTTCCCAGGAAGGGAACTTCCATTTTCTCTATAAATTGGAGAGATATGGATTGGATGGGTGACTGTTCAGTGAATAAGGAATTGACTGGATGGTCCATCCAAAGAGTAGTGGTTAAACAGCTCAGTGTCTACATGGAGATCAGTGACAAGGGGTGTACTTCAAGGGTCCCTGCTGGGACTAGGACTGTTTAATATCTTCATCAATGATGTAGTGGGATCAAGTGCACCCTCAGCAAGTTTGCAGATGACACCAAGCTGAGTGGTGTGGTTGACACACCTGTGGGACAGGATGTCATCCAGAGGGACATGGACAAACTGGAGAAGTGGGCCCAGGTGAACCTCATGAGGTTCAACAAGGCCAAGTGCAAGGTCCTGCACCTGAGTTGGGGCAACCCCAGATATCAATAGAGGCTGAGGGATGAAGGCATTGAGAGCAGCCCTGCAGAGAAAGACTTGGGGGTGCTGGTGGATGAAAAGCTGGACATGAGCCGGCGACATGCGCTGGCAGCCCAGAGGCCAATAACCGTGTCCTGGGCTGCACCCAGAGCAGCGTGGGCAGCAGGTGGAGGGAGGGGATTCTGCCCCTCTGCTCCGCTCTCCTCAGACCCCACCTGCAGTGCTGCCTCCAGTGCTGGGGACGTGGACGTACTTGAGCCAGTGCAGAGGAGGCCACGAGGATGATGCGAGGGCTGGAGCAGCTCTGCTGTGAGGACAGGCTGAGAGAGTTGGGGCTGTTCAGCCTGGAGAAGAGAAGCCTCTGGGGAGACCTTATTGCACCTTTCAATATTTGAAAGGGCCTGTAAGAATGATGGGGACAGACTTTTTAGCAGGGCCTGTAGTGACAGGAAAAGGGGAAATGGTTTAAACTAAAAGAGGGAAGATTTAGACGAGATGAGAGGAAGAAATGTTTCACACTGAGGGTGGTGAGACACTGGCCCAGGTTGGCCAGAGAGGTGGTAGAAGCCACATCCCTGGAAACATTCAAGGCCAGGCTGGATGGGTATGTGAGCAACTTGATCTGGTTGAAGATGTCCCTGTCACTGCAGGGGAGTTGGAACTGGATGAACTTGAAAGGTCCCATCCCACCCAAACCAGTCTGGGATTCTATAATTCTATCCTCCAAACGGCAGAGACCTGTGCTTATGCTGTAAGCTGGTTGGTTTTTTTTATTATTTTCCTGGCTTTAATATTTTTTCACCATCAAAAAGGAAAAGTCATTGTGTCTCCTGAGCTGCTCAGACCAGAGGATGTGCAGCAAGCTGTCTGAAAGCAGACTGTCACTCCAGAGCTGACCTAAGCATGCTCATGGGCTCTGCATCCCTCTGCTTAGAACACTCCTTGCCTGCTGCCTCTTGTCATCAACGCTGGATTAACCGGGAGAGCAATTAAACACTGATACAGCTCATCTGTGAACATGGTGGCTTCTGCATCTTTTGACATCTTTGTCATGATCCAGTGTTCTCTAGTTCAACCACAACAACTTTAAATCAATGCTGTGTGTGAGGCTCGATGCCTGTCTAATGCAGGTCAGCCTGAATCATCATCCCTTGTGACAGGAGAACACGTGGCTGGTTTATTTAAAAAAAAAAAAAAAAGAAGAAAAGAAGAAAAAGTGGTGGTTGCTAGAAGCATGCTGGCCTGCAAAGTGTCTTGCTCACAACTATGGCTCAGCTGGGATATTTTCCTGTGTTTAACAAGGAAGTGTCAGGAGAGCCCATCCTGACCTTCCTGGGGTTTGCTGAAGGACTGGGTCCTGGGGTGACCACTTAGAGCTCTTTAGCTGCAGCTCTTGCTGTGGGTCGGAGGTTGGATGTTTAACAAAGGCTTCTCTTCTCCAGGACGTCAGTCATTGGAAGCAAATAGATATCAAACTGTGCAAAAAGCCAAACATCTCAAACATTGGTGCAAGAGCCCTGGTCCTTGGTTGTAGAGTTGTCATGTTCTCGGCTGCTGTGACGCCATCTGTGCCCTGTCCCCAGTCTCGGTAGCCTTCCAGTGTGTATGAGCTGGTGGGGGCAGAGAAACACCTTTAGGTTTTCACAGAGCAGAGAGGACACTTGTTCACAGCTTCATCCTTTGATGACAGTGGTAACAATCTAGTTAGAACAGCTCTGTTTCCCTAGGAGAAGACCTTAGAGTGCATCGCTGCAAATTCAGATGCTCATTATTTCTCTGCAGCTTGACATCCGTGTCTTGCTCTGGTTTCTTACATAGTTCACACAGTTTTCTCAGTGGTCTGGCACGTTTACCTTCTGGTTCCTGACAAAAAGGTCCTACCACAACAAGCCAGATGTGCTGAAATTCAGAGATGTAGATATGGTTCTGACCACCACCTGCAATAATTGATTTCCTTCTGGGTGTCAGTTACAACCCCGTGATGCCCAGGAGCAACATAAGAGTTCTGTAGGCACCGTCTCTAATAACCAGCTTCTACTGCAGTGAGTAGGTTGTTGTGGTTGCAGCATAATCTACTGCTGCAGGAATTTATCTTTGGCCTAAAGAACACAAAAGTTCTCCTGTGAAGCCACTCAAACCTAATGGAGATTTTATTGGTATTAAAAAATGAAATACTGTATAAGTTGTTTTCCCCTTGCATGTGAGTGAGGAACAAAGCCTGAGAACATAGTAGAGAGATGTGTTCAGGTCTCCTCAACATTTTTAAGCAGATATCTGATTGTTAAGCTTGTGCAGCTTGCCAGCATTTCTTCTGGGTGTGCTGTAACCAAGTGTAAGCTCTGAAACTGAAGAGCCATTGAAGATGTGGCAGAACAATGGGCTGTGTGTTGAGAATTTGTGAAGTTCCTTCTCTTACCCAAAGAAGAGGAATTGCCTGGCTGTCCATAAGCAAGTCTTGTGTTTGGCTCATGTGAGGAGACCTTAGTGCACAGTGCATTTCACGTGTGTGGCTGAGGTTGGAAGGCACCTCTGGAGGTTGTCTCGTCCAACTACTCTGCTCAACCAGGACCACCAGAGCTGGTTGCCCAGGACCATGTCTAGATAGCTTTTGAATATCTCCATGGATGGAGACTCCACAACTTCTCTGACAACTGTGCCACTGCTTGGTCACCCTCACAGTGGAAAAAGTATTTCCTGATGTTCATAGGGAACCTCCTGTGTTTCAGTTTGTGCCCCTTGGCCTCTTGTCCTGTCATTGGGTGGCACTGAAAAGAGCCCAGCATCATCTTCTTTGCCCCCTCCTTCAGGGATTTAAATACATTGATAAGCCCCCCCCAAGCCCTCTCTTCTCTTGGCTGAGCAGTCCCAGCTCTCATGTGAGAGATGCTCCAGTCAATCATCTTTGTTGCCCTTCATTGGACTCTCTCCAGTACACCCTGTCCTCAGGATCCTGAACTCCACCAAGGCTGCCTTTGACCTTCCCTATAAGCCCTTGATTTTTTATGGGTATGAGGTCTAGCAGAGCACCTCTCCTCGTTGGCTCCTCTATCACTCAGAAGAGGAAGTTACTATCAGTGCACTCAAGGAACCTCCTGGATTGCTTACCTCTTGCTGGTTTGTCCCTCCAGCAGATATAGGAGTGGTTGAAGACCACAGGAACCAGAGCCTGCTCCTTTCTTTTTACAGAGGGCCTCATCCACTTGTTGCTTTTTTGTTGTTGTTTGTTCCTGGGCAGGCAGCCTGTCGCAGACACCCACTATAGTGTCACCTTTACCTGTCCTCTCTTTAATCCTCACCCATAAGCTCCTCATCCATCCCCAGGCAGAGCTCCATGCGCCCCACCTGCTCTCTCACATAGAGGACAACTCCTTGGGGAAGAGGGGAAGGTCTTGTTCTCGTTGGAAGCGAGATGTTACGTTGTGTAACTGAACCG